GAACACTGTATTTACTTTTCTTTGATGATTTATGTATATAATTTAAAAGTGTTAACGGCTATATTGATTTATATATATATATATATATATATATATATATATTTAAGGTCTTGGGATTTGATGTCAAAATTATGAAATATAAAGGCTGCTGGCACCTTCACCTCTGATGATCAGTTCTAACAATTTTTAACAAAAATGTGATACAATAATGACAAAATGATTATTATTATTATTATTATTATTATTATTATTATTGTTAAATTTTATCAAATTTGATCTTCATGAATATATATATATATATATATATATATATATATATATACATATACCATTTTGATATATAATTACATATTCTAACTGGATTCTAGACCTAGGCCTATGTATATATCGTGTCTGTACTTAACATATTTCAATCTTTGTCAATCTAAAGTCGAATGTACAGTAGGCCTATGTCCTGGTCCCTGACCCTTTTAGGTTCATCACTTGGATAGGCTCATCTTCATAAAACTGCTATGAATGGATATCTTGTTTGAAGCAAGAAACCAAGTTGTCTTTATCCAGTACCGCTCGTTTATTTTATTCGGGTTGGAAACTTTTAACATAACTTTCACCACTATATATTTCCATTATATTGTCATAAAAAATATCTGCCATAATTTTTGGGAAGAATTTGCATATTTCTGCAGAGGTCAACGACCTTTGACCTATAGATACAACAATTTCTGCACACGTTTTAAAATTGAATGGTTGGAAAATCTACAGACTACATGTTAATACCACCAACATGCAAATCTATCCAATAAATCATGAGTTATTAACCTAAATGTTAACCCCTACCCGAAACATCGTCATTGATTACACAAGTAATCAAAAATGACAGTAATACATTTAATTAATTTATAAATTTTTCTTGTTAATATCATTTTCTTTATTCTATATGCTTATTATTAATAGAAAACACTAATTGGTATCAAATCTACTCACAACTCTAAACGTTTGTAAGTAAATTTGAAATAAATATACAACTTTTCTGTGCTGGTCAATGACCTTTTTATCTCTGGTTGCGTCAATTTTTACCTGTTTCAATTCTTTTTTAATTTGAATGACCGGCCAATCGATAGGCTAAATGTTGATACCAACATCATACAAATCCATTGAGTAAATCAAGAGTTATGAGCATTTAATGTTATCCCCTATCCCAAAAACTGTTAGTTGTTGATTACAAATTCTAAGAATATAAGAAAATGACAGTAGTACATTTAATTTATTTATACATTTTCCTTGTTAATATCGTTGTTGTATATTCCATATGCTTATTTACAATAGAAAATATTAATTGGTATTAAATCCACTCACAACTATAGATTTGTAAACGTTTGTGAGTGAATTAGGAATAAATTAACAACTTTTCCATGGAGGTCAATGACCTTTTGACCTCTAGATATGTTTAAAAATGTTTTGAATTTGAATGACTGACCAATATATAGGCTAAATGTTGATATAAACATCATACAAATCCATTGACTAAATCAAGAGTTATGATCATAAACGTTACTCCTACCCCAAAAACTGTTGTTGATTACAAATTTCTCGGATCATAAACATTGACAATAGAACATAGGGCCTAATGCATTTTAATTTTTTCTTGTTTTGTTCAATTTTTGTATTCCATATGTTATTAACTACAAGAAAAACACAATTTGTATCAAATACATCCAAAATTAGACATATGACACTGAAGTTTAATGATCATTTTTTCATAAAATTGTTATGAAAAAATTGGCATTTTAGAAAAAGGTCGATGACCTTTTGACCTCCAGTGACGTTAATAATTGTCGGATTAATTTTTTTTAAACTGCATATGATTAAGAAACATATATGCTACACATTGCTACCAAAATAACATTGGTGGAAATTTTATTTATGCCAAAGTTATTGGCATAAATACTCCTCCACCCCCCCCCCCCCCCTAGATGTGTATAAGAGACAGGAAATATACACATAATGACAAATACAGTAATAAAACCTCTATAACTTAAAAACACATGATACTTCAACATATAAAATAACATCAGAAAGTGTAATTATTTTTATTATTACTAATTGTGTTTCTATAGCGCATAATAATGAATCGCATAATGAGGTATCAACCATTGTTTTTCATAAAATAAATATTATACAATTAAAAGGGTTTATTTGTGTGGCGAGTCGAATTGCCGAGCGGTTAACAGGGGCGCCGCAACCTACAGTCATAATATCGACGCTGGTTCGAACCCCATGTTCGCCTATGGTTCTGGTGGTAGAACAAGTCTTCTCGGATAAGGACTATAAACCGTAAAGGCCTAAGGTGGATTCCATTTTAATATTGAAGTAGGTTTACCCATGATAGAACTGTCCATTTAAAAGGCATACTGTACTTCGATTTTATACTTGCAGAACACAACTTCATGAAAAGATTCGATCCAAGGATGAGCAAGGAATAAAGGAGTTAGTAAAGAGTCATCCTGAATGGATGGCCTTTAAAGATGAAGTGGTAAGACTTATGTATCTATGTATGTTTGAATATGTATGTATATATATATATATATATGTATATATATATATGCGTGTATATATATATATATTATTATATGTATATATAAAGTCGTTTGTATAAAAATTACTCACATATGAGAGCTCAACAATTGAAAAACATCGTGTTTTATAACAGTATAAAGACTGTCTCTTATACACATCTAGATGTGTATAAGAGACAGTCCCTACATTTTTCCTGTTAACATCAATTTTTTTTTGTTCTATATGCGCGTAGGAACAAAATGATACCACAGAAGATTAACTGTGGGGGGGGGGGGGCACGGTGACCCCCTTCCCCAACCCTCCAGCCCATGGCCTAACAAGTGTTGTCTGAATTACTGGTAACAGATTTTGTTTGGCCTTTGTAGGAGGATGGCGGTCCTTCGTCAGTGCTTGAGAAGTAACTGCTCATGATACGTGGGAAGCCATATGGCCATGCTAGCATATAGGCGTTTGCAAGTTTGTATGATTTTGGGGACACGTGGGTGAGGACATGGCCTCCGCCACCGTGGCCTCGCTGGTTATCGTGGAAGCTCGCACTGAAAGAACTTCCATCTGAGCCAACCCCAGAGTCTACGGAATACAAAAATATTACACCAATAGATTATTGAAATGGTTAGTTATTATTAATTTTTACAATTGTTTACTAATTACTTCAGATAGAACGGAAAAATAACTGGCAATGACAGGTCACTAGGTAAGTGGGACCGTCACCGTTGAATCTAAGCAACGTTTACCTAATGACAATAAGAATTTACTACTGTTTAGAGTCTGCAGAAATATAATTACAGTGGCTACATTACATAATATATGCCATTTATACTCTTGTGTGCAAAGAGACTAAGGAACACGTCAATGGACAACGAGCGAATTCAAACCAGTGGCTGCGCTAGAATTTCTTCGACGATAAGGCAACATTACGGATGGGCAGAGCGAGAGAAGCTTGGATCTCAGGGGAATGGCAATGCTTCGCTGAGGGGTTTAGAGCTAGCATTCCCTTAAATATGCAGAATGTTTGGTAGGCGGCCTGTGGTAGTTATTCACGCCTATTTCCCATTGACGGCGACATGGGAGGAGGAAAGGAGGAGGAGGAGCTTTCCTGTATTCTGAGAGTTCTTTGATGATCTCTGTAAGTATAGACATATGAAGATTATGACGACATAGTGGCAAGATTTAAAAGTATGGAAATAATGTAATTATATAAAATACTTCCATTGAATCCAGTAAATTGAATATAGTTGGGAACCTATGATTTGGGCTTGGACGTGGGAAAATTTTGAAAGCAAAATTAGCGTAATGAAACTCCTAATTGATATTCAGTAAATTAGTAGTATCACCAAGCGTCACAGAATGCATCAAGCATCATTGTGCCTTTAGCGTCTTTGAAAAATTCACGGGCTATGATGATGACGACGATGATGACTGCTACGATCACACAGTGTCAGCGATTGTAATCTGCCGTAGCATTAAAATGGTAAATGTACAACTCCGTAAAGCTAAGATTCAATAAAATCGCTACAAACCTTCGCGTACAGCTGATTGGTTTATCGAATCAGCGTGCCTTTCTGATCACCTTGGAGACTTTTACGTATTGTAACGGTTGCAACAATATTAAAGAAAAGTTGTTTGATTTTAATTTTAATATGCAGTTCTTTGGCAAAAAGTATCTGGATCTATATTCCAGTCAGTCAGGCATATTTCTTTTTGGTCGTCTGAGAGATTACTTTATTGTTTGTCCCACATTTTTTTGTTAAACGAGCATGGTTTTTAACTTTGTAATTGAATATATTTTCGTCTGTGATGAAAATAATTTTTCCTACAGATACGCTATCGTATATTTATTATCTAAATATATCGAAAAGTTATTGGGTTGTTAACATTTAGCCTATATATTGAATTCAATAATTTACTATCAAGTCATAATTAAAATTTCATCTTCTAGTTATCATTATTTAAACATTAACGGTTGTATTGTTATGCCTTTGGGCATAGAGACTCTCTTTAATTTCATGTTATCATCGTAATTGATATAGCAAAGAAGACTAAATCTTATGCTGTGAGAGTTCCCGTTCTAACTTGGTCTTTCTAGTATTATTAATTTAATTTATATGTGTAAATGTATATGCAAAATAAATGAGCACACTATAATTATTAACACAACGATTTCCATAAACATGGGGTTCACTGATAATTTTAGCATAAGACGGTATGTGTTTATTGAACAAATATAATAATATAATCAAGTATGTCTCTATCAATCTTTTCGTAAGAGCGTATTTAGTTCTATATTTTTCGAGAGAATTTTCATTATGACGATGATGATTATGATGATGATAATGAGGATTAAGGGTGACAATGGGCTAAAATATATTTTTCCATTCTGTTATTGGTGGGTCCCCGTTGTTGGGGTTTTCACAATATTCTGTCCATCGGTTCGTTATTAATTTAACATTTATACAAATGCCCGACGTCAGTGGAGCAACGAAGCCCCAGTACTACCCCGGGGACTAAGGGCGCATTGGATCCCATACGACGTTTTTTTTTTTTTTTTTTTTTTTTTTTTATTTTTTTTTTTTTTTTTTTTTTTTTTAATTTTAAAAGTCACGGTGTATTTAGACGTTTTTTTCACATTCTGCTCAGTATGGTATCGATGATCACGGAAACATGCAGAATAATACTTCCGGTCCCCTTATAATAGATCGAGGCCATTAAGCCTGTTTTCTACTATCAAAATTTAGTCGCGCGAATCTAAAGTTTCGGTTCTCTTCTTGAGCTTTGATTGGTTGCCCGTTTTTATGACAGTTCACAGTTGTGAATGCGCAAAAGCTCGAACCGACCCTTTTGATTCTTGCGAACAAATTCGCTTGGTGGAAAACAGGCGTTATTTTAGCCAGTGAGACCTTTGTTACGTCATTGATTCGATGTTGTCATTGGCCCCATACTTTTTTTGCCAACCTTTTCGCTTATTATTCTTAAATTTTTTTTAAAATAATTTTTATGTCCGCCTGTATGTGAAAGCCTGCATCTGTCATGATCTCCTCCGCTATGTATTGTTTATCAATGGTTATACCTACAGGGTTTATCTTACCAGCTAATGTAATCAGTGTTTGTGTTACCCTTGACTATCGCTCAACTCATTTAGGCATACTTATGTTATTAATAGACCTATTATTAAAATTATTATTAATCAACTGTTCCTATTAGCCCTATATGGTCGAACATCACTGTCGAATCCAGGGGCCAGTGACAATCGAGAATGTATGGTCCGAAAGTAGTGGCAGAACCTATGTTTAATATATATATATATATATATATATATATATATATATATATATATACATAATAATTATGATGATGTTAATTTTCTGAAAATTGAATTTGTCTATGTAGTACTGTTAAATGTATTTATTTTAATGTTTCTATATTATTATTCTGTAATTTTAGTACCAGTATTCTCATTTTGGGTCCAAAGTGGAAACAAATTTATTTTTGTACTCTTGAATATTTTTACTATTGATTACTTTCAGAATGAATGAATAAAGTTAAAAACTGGACAAACAAATATAAGTTTTATAATAAAGAAAGATATTTTGTGATTCGTAATAGGCCAAAAAGCGATGTGGACAAACACGTACATACATGTATATATAAAATGTGAAAATAAAGTGGAAACAAATTTCTTTTTGTACTCTTGGATATTTTTACTATTGATTACTCTCAGAATGAATGAATGAAGTTAAAAAAAACCAAATATATACGTACATACACACAAACAAACACACATATATATATTAAGTATATATATATATATATATATATATATATTTATATAATTTCTTTAAACATTGAAGAAGTCCTGATAAGTACTGGAGAAAAAAAATATAAGTTTTATAATAAAGAAATATATTTTATGATTCGTAATACGCCAAAAAACGATGTGGACAAAAACGTACATACATGTATATATAAAATGTGAGAAGACAATATCTCTGAGTGTGGACATAATATAAATCAATATAGTTTATTAAATCACAAATACCGTATATCAAACACGACCTTCAATATCGAACAAAAACTCAGACATTTTAAAGAAGGCGGACAGCAAAATTCAGTTCAGATGCTGAGTAACACGAGTGCATACTCAAATGGATTACAATAGAACATAAAGACTTAGTGGAGAGCTAATAAAGCTACTGAATATTATTCTCACCCCATGATTAGTTTTGTATCACACAATGGCAATCAGATGTGGAATATTAACAAAGATACCATTAAATTAATACATTTGTCAATAATCTTGATTGATTTTATTTCAAATGCATCTACTTTTTGCAATATTTGTTTGTATTCATCAATTATAATAGTGATTATTTAATACGGTAATAATAATAATAATAATAATAATTGCCTAAAAGTTTGGAGAATGTATGATGTTCTCGAATGCGGCCGACACCGCAACGTGAACGTAAGTGTGCGTGCGTGGTCGTTTTTTGCTCAAAATCTCCCGGAAGCTCGTATCAAGCGGGCTACGCAAACTATTATAATTTAGGGGTTCTAAAGGCTTGTTTGAACGATTTTATTCATTACAAAAAATATATATATTTTTTTTTTCTTTTTCTGCCCGACGGGGTGAGGCCATGACCCTGCCACACTGGCGCAACGTCCTGCTGGTTAACAGTTAATTGGAATTGATGTTGAATAACAGGTATGAGGATATAAAAATTATGATATTTTTTATGATGTTGGTACCGAGGGTGATGGTGGTACTTAGGGTCATGGTGGTAATTATGTTCTATAAAATAGACTACAAAATGTTGAATTGCCTTGGTTAAATATGCTCGAATTTTAGAAATTTTGTAAAGTAAACACAAAGATGGCAGAATGTCATTACGCTAATTGGGCATACAATATTTTCCAGCAACATAATGATGTCTGACAATATCTGAAAAACTATGTCTTTGTAACAAAAGGACAGTTTAAAGAAGTTACTGAATCCGGCTCGAGTTTGAAGATAAATTGAAAAATTACTAGAAACGCAGCTACAAATTGTAGACACAATTGCAATAAGCTGCTTCTCTTGTCCTATCCAGTACTTAAAAAGATACATTGCTATGATGTACCTTTCCACAGCAATGAAGTGACAAGATTTAGCGTCGAGGCAGAGGGAAAGAACAATAACGAAGTACCGGATTTACAGTAAATGTAGTCGCTTTTTTCACCTTCAACTCGGTACACAAAAAAGAAAAATAAATATAAGCAATTTGCTATCATATCGATCAAAGACTTGAAAACACAAAGATAAGTAAGAAGAATCTTGCCACTGATGAACACGATAATCACCGTCAAGTAAGCGAAAATGCTTGTCGTTGTTTTTTTTTTTCTGTTGGGATAACCCACTTTGTTTTCCATTATCTCTTTTTTTAAATAATTTTCTGTTTCATATTTATCTATATTCCCTTAAGTGAATAAATATGAAACTCATTGAGTATCCTCATATTTACAAAAGTTACATTTTTCATTTTTTTGCACAAATCTTTAAGCAGATTTCAATCATGATACAAGTTATGAATATCATCTATTTGCAATTACATTTTTTGTTTCTTTTTTCTTTTTTTGGTTTTTGTTTGTTTTGTTTTTTAACATAAAATCTACCCATAAAGTACCGACGTTTAATTTGTACTAACTTTTATGGAAATACTCCATCATGAATTATATACGTCATATTTGGTATTATTTACAATTTTTTTTAAATTTCTGCTTAAATAAAATTACGCCCCATGTGTTCATGCTTCCAAATGATTGTCGTTGCTAGTATCAATTTCTTCACTAGTTGCAGAAGAGGAATCGTTGTTGTTGTTACAGGTCCACATTTTCAATGTGAAGTTTATATGATTACATTAGCACAAAGACTTGTATATCGATCTTGTGCTTAAATAATAACATAAATAAATGTAACATGTCCAATTGTCCAAAAATTCATAATTAGGAGAGTTC